CGGGGTTCGGGTGTTTTGTTTGATTTTAAATAAACAAAGTCTTGGCTTTCAGAATATGAAACTTTTATTTCCAAAATCACACGATAAATACATTTGTGAAGCTTGTAAAGGGAAGATGACAGGCACCTCTCAATCGCAATTTGCTGTTCCGTAGCGCAGCTCCCCCTCCCTCCGGCTGAAATTATGAATGTAAGGCATAAGTAATCATAGATAACACGGCAGGGTCCGTTACAGTTTGTTTTCATCTGATTTCAATTAAACAAAGTCTTGGCTTTCAGAATATTAAACTTGTTTCGGCACATTTAGATTAGATGAACTATGAAGCTTGTAACGGCATATTTACAAGCGGAGAACAGAGTAATTTAACGTCACAGCAAGCATAACAACAGCCGGTGTTTCTCGTGAGTGTTTTCCCCGGGAAACAAACACAATATACACAAACGCAAAAATACACAAACACACACACACACATACACTCACACACTCGCGAGCTTCCCCCAGACCAGTAATCCAAACGGAAATATTTTCCCTCCGGACTATTTTGATCATTTGCTCCGCTAATAATCAATCAGATCGATGGATTCCAGAGAAAAGCCTTTTTCTCAAAATGATGACTCGGTGACAGTCATTATATAATGTGACATATTTTGCTTAATATTTGGAGTACAACAAAAATCTTGATATCATTAGAAAGCTAGGAATCTCCTCTTTCCAACAGTGTATACAACTCAAAATGTGTCTTCGGGTCAATGCGACTGATTTCGATAGAGCAGGTCACATATAGCCGATTAAAGCTGAGACTCCACTGATTATTTAGGTATAGTATCATCACTGAGCGATCCGAACTTGCGACAGGGGAAGCAAACACAGACATCACAACACGTACCTTTACGGAGCTTTTACGGCAGATCGTCTCACCGTAGCTGTCCATTAGGTCAAAAGACGTGTTCAATGGCATTAAAACGAAAAAAAAAAATGCTACAACTGTTGATCCATAGGTTGATAATGTACCTGTGCCTTTTAAAAAATTATTTATAATCCATAACTCCATTTTTTATTTAAAAATCGGAGCGGAAAAGTTAGCTGCTAATGGTAGCCACCAGAGTGTATGCAGCTTCCGGTTTTGGTAACGCGTCACTCTCACTCCTTATTTGTTAACATTTTGGTGTGTATATAACTTTCCCTCGATTCCATTGGCTCTAGCGGTTATAAAGAGATTTCATTCATCAAAATTGAGCAAATGACCCCAGAAGTGGGTTTTTTTGGCTAAATCTCTCTAAAAAGGTCAAATTTCACTTGTTTTGCATCAATCTTGATACAGGGTACTTATTATATGTTGTACTTTGGATTCCTAAAGCTTTTAGTCTACTAACCCATCATACAAGGGTAGTTTTCACTATAAGTAAAAAAAAATTTGGACGGACTATAATTTACAGTTTTTTACTATGTTCAATCTGAATTTTCTTTAAAATAAAAAACATCTATATTGATTCTGACTTTTCTACATCCAACTCACAGGTTTATCATTAGTTTGAGAATAAAGATTATTAATTTAACCCTTTTAGAAGGGAAGATATGGTCATTTGTTCTGGGAATGTCATTTTCGAGCCTGAGACCTGAAAAACAGGCTCAGGGCTTAAGAGGTTAAACAAACGCCTGTTTGAGACTCCTCAGTGCACACAAAACATAACTTGGAGAAATAAATAAATACGGATATGTTATTGAAAACCACCTCGAATATGTTGTGTTATTGTTATGAAATGTCTTCTCATAAATGATGCGGTAAACTGAAGAAGCTCTTCAATGATCGTTGGAATTGGTTGAAGGTGGACAGACGAGTGTTTTAGTAAATCTGACTCTGCAGATTATGACTTTTCCTTCTTTGATATATTCTGTTATGTACGTATTTATGAAAATCTGATTATTAAATAACAGTATAATATTGGAAAAATCAAATTTGAGTCTCCTTGTTGTTGTGTGCTCATAAAAGTATTTTAATTGGGTGTCACTAGTGCAAACACTCCTACAATGGTGTGTCACAATTAGATTGAATGTACTTAAACAGATGTTTCTATTACTGTAATACTATACTATGACTTTGAATATAATACAATATGACTTGTTTTTGGGACATAAGTAGGACTTTGACTTTATATTATACACATTTTCGACACACTATACTATGACTTTTGTTTTATTTTTTAACACGTATACAATATTTTTCGACATACTATACTTTACATTTTTCATGATACTTTCAACGTATTACACTATGGGTGTTTCTCAATGTCGAGGACGCTTCCTTGGTAGGACATGTCCCTCCGAGTCAGGTCCTTCTGAAGCGATGCAAGAATCTTTCCTAGCCTCGGAAAACAAAGAATGGTGGAACAGGCTAACAGGTGTGCAGGTGTGTAAGACCGCGGAGGATACACATGTGCAGCCTCGAAATTTCCCGCTACGAAGGACGCCGGCCTCGGTAGAATTCCAAGGGTCCTGGACATTGGAACAGTCCTTCGATTACGTAGCATCCTTGAACTAGTGGCTCTGGAGCAGCCTTCCTCGACATTGAGAAACACCCTATATCACATTTTTCAACACGGTATTATGACCTTTTTTAAATATTTTTGACTTCTACATATAAGAATACTTTTGTCCTCCAATTTTTTACGTACCATACAATGACTCTCATATTCTTCTGCAATAATATAAGAAACTTCTTTTATGTAAAACTCTTAAATCAAACGGGGATAATAATATGCTTTAAAGGGGACCTATCATGCTAAATGCAATGCAATTCTGATGTCTTTTATACATAAATATGTGTCCCCGGTGTGTCGGGGAACTCACGCAGCGTCAGAAAATAAAACCCTCTCTCTTTTCCTCCATACCCAAATCTCTAAAAACGGGGGTACAACGGAGCTGATCCAGATTTGCGTCCGATATTACGTAATATCGGAAATGTGGACCCATTGCTATCAGAAACAATGCCGACTGTTTTGGACGTAATATGGTCGGTGTTTACATTAGCATCGCTAACACTCAGAGCTAACCTGTACTGGAGAGCATGTGTGTGAAGAAGCAGGAAATAAAAAGGAACTCACCTTGTGGTATAACCGGCAAGAGAGAAAGCCTTTGAGCTCCATACTGTTTCAGAAATAATCCTTGATAATCCATGATATGGCGTTTCATCACGGCAGTATTTAGTTTAGACAGTAGCTGCCGGGTCCCGCATGAGCTCAGCCCCCTCCTTTTTTTTCAATTTTTTTTTTTTTTCAAGCTTTATACCCAAAATCAGCACTTTTGAAACAGGAAGTGAAATAGAGGGATATGAGGCATGGCTAGAATGGGTGATCTGTTTGGTATTTTGAGCAAAACACTTCATAGACATGTTTTTTATATATTTTAATATATCTGAGACCTATGCTATTGCCTAAAAATAGCATGATAGGTGACCTTTAAATAACACAAATCACCAGTGCAAACACTCTTCTGGAGGTGTTTCAATATTGGATTTATTTTAATTGAATAATGTTTTTTGTTACTAAGCTTCTGAATTCATATCTAAAATCCACAGGAAAATATTTATTTTGATGAGAAGCATGATCATTTCTTATTGATGTGTAGCAGTTAATTGATTTATACTAATTAGTACCGCCTACATTAGTCAACAATGACTACAATAGCCCATAATGTCTTTTTTGTTCTCCCTTTAACAATATGTGTGTTATTTGCACCACAAACTAAAACATTGCAAATAACCTTCAAGGTACGTTTTTGGAAATGTGACGACCCCATAAGCAAAAAATAAAGTTACAGATAGATCTCACTGAAACACTTTCCACACAAAACATGTTTTATTACTCGGTGACAGGACACACACACACGTAAAATGTTGCATACAAGTTTCAGACATTCTCCAAACTACATCAACAGCAGGCTTTACACGACCATTAAGCGACATAAGCGGCCGCTTAGGGCCCCGCAGCCACTAGGGGCCCCCTAGCTAAAAAAAAAGGAAAAAAATCATAATAATCTCAGTACACCGTCGCCGTGATAAGTATGTTTAATTAATTTTGTTAATATGCCTAGATTGCCTACTCTCAAAGTCATGTATTATATTATTGAGTCAATAACCATTACATTAACCGTGCTTTACCTGAACCTCATCGTGACACTAGAGAGGACGGCAGGATTGTAATTTCCCATGTTCAGTGAATGCAACAGTGGCAAGACACCAGACCAACCAGAGAGTTGAATGGAAATAAACATCTGTCTCATTGGCTGACAGGTACCTATCCTGTGAGCTGTGACAATGTTTAAAATAAACTGGTAACACCACAACACACACACACTTAGCAGGTGATAAGACGCACACACACACACTTAGCAGGTGATAGGACACACACACACACACTGTCATCTAGGCGCACTAAACTTCAGATTTTCATGATGGTAGACACATTTAGCAGGCGTTATATTGACAGCATGTGATCCTCGTGGCATATCTTATATCATTAAAAGCAGCTTCAGGACATTAAATTAAATATGAGGCTTAAAGTGCTGAAGAAAATAATAAAAGTGACAAAATGTGGACTTAAAAAGCATGACCTCAGCGTTCTCGCCACATGATTTACGCTCAGCTGTGTGACATAGTGACAGTTTCACGACTAAAACTCTTACAGTACATAACAAGGAGTGGTTATATATATATTAAAGTCTATAATAACGTTGATTGTGGATCTAGGAGAAGTTACAACGTTAGCTCTAGCTACGAAAGAAGAGCTCCTTTCCAAATACCGTTTAATCTTTAAATTTAATCAGCTAAATTTCCCTCATCTCAAAAATACAAGCTCCCTTCTGAATAGTGCCCGGACTTTTTAAAATCACCAACTATCTGTAATTAATTTGCAGTCGATCAGTGGTCGCTGGGGAGGAGCTCCAGTGAAGCTGCTCTCTGATTGGACGTCTCCTCCGGCAGCTGTTCTCCAGTGAAGCTGCTCTCTGATTGGACGTCTCCTCCGTCAGCTGATCTTCAGATGTTCTCGGAGGGTTTGCTCTCTTTGGGTCGGACGCGTGTCACGTGCTCCAGCTGACCCGAGTCCGACACGTCGTAGCTCGTCTTGTATTTGGCTAAGATCTTCATCAGGGGGCGGAGCTTCAGCCACCACTGCTCCTTAGGGATCCTGTGGCTGAGGAGACAAGAGGATTTTAATATTATATTAAAATATATAATATAATAAATAAACCCCTGTGACATTCACTCTACCTGTGATGATATATATTGTGATATCTGTTTTGACAACTATACTTTGACTATGATTTTTTTTTAATATTTTGGACAGACTCTACTATGAACTGTTTAAAATTATTCAGCATACTTTAACTATACTACGCATTTGTATAATATTTTCAACATACTATTGTATTAACATTTTTGACAGACGATACAAGGACTTTTTCATGATATTTTCGACATAATTTTTAAAAAATGTTTAGAAATACTGCACTTTTCACATACTGCATTTTTACAAGTCACTTTGTCGTACAATTAATTACAGGAGCTGAATTGCTACAAAGTGAAAGTGTTTCTTACACAAAGTCAGTCTCGTCTTTGAGCTGAGAGACGGGCTGGAACACCATGGCTCTGCGGCGCATCCCCAGCAGACAGGCCGTGTCCTCCGAGTTAGTAAACACCCGCCCTGAGGGAGAGAGAGCCGGAGGTTAAAGGTCCTCTAAGATACTGTTTACATCAATATATTATAGGTCTCAGATGTATACAAAACATGTCTCTGAAGTGTTTGGCACCAAACACCAAACAGATCATTGCAGCATGAGAAGAGGGGACACATGTTGATGTAGAAGAGACATGGAGAAGAGGGGACACATGTTGATGTAGAAGAGACATGGAGAAGAGGGGACACATGTTGATGTAGAAGAGACATGAAGAAGAGGGGACACATGTTGATATAGAAGAGACATGAAGAAGAGGGGACACATGTTGATGTAGAAGAGACATGAAGAAGAGGGGACACATGTTGATATAGAAGAGACATGAAGAAGAGGGGACACATGTTGATGTAGAAGAGACATGAAGAAGAGGGGACACATGTTGATGTAGAAGAGACATGGAGAAGAGGGGACACATGTTGATGTAGAAGAGACATGAAGAAGAGGGGACACATGTTGATGTAGAAGAGACATGAAGAAGAGGGGACACATGTTGATGTAGAAGAGACATGAAGAAGTGGATTTTGCACAATAGGTGAGCTTTAAGGCAAGACACACTCACACACAGACCAGAAATAAAAGGAACTAAATGTCTCATCATGTTTCGTCTTACCTCCTTTGTTAGAGTCCTTGAGCGTCCGTGAGATCCACTGAACGGCTTTAGCGGCTACTTTAGTGCCAAAGTTTCTGTCAAAGGGAGACGGAGCTCCTCCCTGGGAAAAGGACGGACAATATGACACCACAAGTTCAAAAATAAGGATATTTGTATAAAATATGTACAATGATCTTGACTAAAGCAGCATAAATGTGCCTCAGGAGAGACTTGAAAAAACGTTGTAGCTGGCTAACGGGAAAGAGCAGTGAAAAAATGAAGTGTCATTTAAATAAATTACACTTCACAAATAATTATTATTATTCAAGAAAAAGCATAATACGTTTTTGTATACGTTATTTATGTGTGTGTGTGTGTGAGTGTGTGAGTGTGTGTGTGTGTGTGTGTGTGTGTGAGTGAGTGAGTGAGTGAGTGAGTGAGTGAGTGAGTGAGTGAGTGAGTGAGTGAGTGAGTGAGTGAGTGAGTGAGTGAGTGAGTGAGTGAGTGAGTGAGTGAGTGTGTGTGTGTGTGTGTGTGTGTGTCTCACCTGCTGCATGTGACCCAGGATGTTCTTCCTGCAGTCGAACACCCCCTTCCCCTCCTCGGTGTACAGCTGGTAGATGAAGTCAGTGGTGTAATTCTCATTGGAGTTCTCATTCCTAAAAAACACAAACATTACAAAGGGGGTTGGTACACTGAAATAAAAAGAAAGAAACTACAAAACACTTCTTCGGAACTACTTTCTACAAAAAAACGAATTCCCTGAGATGCAAACTATCCATCGTAAAAAGGAATCCTCCCTCTAAGCAGTCGAACAAAGTGCACATGTACCCTTGAGCCAGGGCATTCTCTGTACTGCTCCATTGTTATATAGGACATATGTGCTTTGCAGGTGCAACCTCAGCGCAGATATGCAATGTCACCGACACGCCGTCCGAAATATATCATCCGTCCTATTTCCTCACAGCTCCGTCCTGCTGGGAGCATTTTACACAGCCTGATGGTGCAGAGGACCGAAATAGACCCGAAAGATGACAGGAAGTAAAGTGTGTGAGGTCGATTAGCTGTCAAACACCTTCAAAAACACATCAGTTGTGTAATGACATTAAAACTGATGTTTATTTACAGAAATGCAGCACGAGGTAAAGATTATTTACCATTAAAAACAGTCCGAAATATGTTTTTAGAGTCTTTTCTCTCCCTCAGTTTTACACACACACACTCTCTCATGCAAAACCCAAAAGGCTAAAGAGTGTGTGTGAGGTGATAATAAGAAGGAAGCCTCACCTGAGCACCAGTCCTCTCTGGATGGTCGTCTTCATCTTCTGCGTCAGATGCTCCACGTTGGCCTGAAAACACAGAACAAAGTCCCGCGTTAAACCGGAGCGCTGCAACCGGCACGAGCAGCAAACAAAGTGACAAATCACAAGCAGGAGATCCTTAAACCCCCCCCCCCCCCCCCCCCCCCCACCTCCCTCAGATCCTTATTCCCTTCAGAGGGGAGAGGGTGCAGGAGGACATTTACACCACCAGGGGGCAGCAGGTCGGCAAAGTTAATTAGGAGTAAAAATCCATTGACCTTCACCAAATATATGAATGCTTGTGGAGAAGAGTGAGGTGATACCGCGTGAACATTTCTGATGCCCTTGATATCATAAACAAAAAACAACCGTTCTGAAAGTAAATCAAACCCTAGATGAAAGTGAACGAAGCCCAGTGTAGATGTGTGTGTGTGTTAGGTGAAGAGCTACTGTATGCTATTTAAAGAGTTGTGATTAAGAACAGAGTTCAGGTTTGACACAGTGACCGTCCTGAAGCCTCCGATCACATGACCTGATCCGTCTGTCATGTGATGAGCGATGCAGTGCAGAGTTATTCATACGTTTCCTCACACGACGCAATGCCATCATCTGGGTCACATGCGGGACGAGGCAAAGTAACAGAGTCAGGGGGAGAGTCTCAAAAGATATCAAATGTTGTACGCCAACAACTTAAATGAAGGCTCTGAAATAGCACTTATAGAGTATCTGTTGATGTTATGAAGAAGAAAGAGAGACATGGTGGTCCCTACGTTGTTTTAAAGGTCCCATATCACAGGTCTCAGATATATACAGAACCTGTCTCTGATTGGCTGAAACACCAAACAGATCATTGCAGCATTACCCATAATCCCCTCTGTTTCAGCCCTGTTTCCAAAGTGCTGATTCTCTGTCTGTTACTTTAGATGAAAATAAGGAGCCCCTCCCCACGCCCCTCTGAGAGAGATTTGGTTACAAAGAACTCAATGGTGCTCTAGGAGGAGATTCAGGTGATAAGGTGGGGGGGGGGTTACCTTGGTTGCTGATTGGCTAATGGTTACACAAGCCAAAACATTGTTATGACATCATAAAGTGGCCAAAATCTGATCAGCTCATTTTCAAACAGGTTTTTATAGAAATGGATCAGGACGAAAAGAGAGAGAATCTTTGTTCCTGAAACTTTCAGAGTCTCTTTACACAGAGGGGACACATGTTGATGTAGAAGAGACATGGAGAAGAGGGGACACATGTTGATGTAGAAGAGACATGAAGAAGAGGGGACACGTGTTGATGTAGAAGAGACATGAAGAAGAGGGGACACATGTTGATGTAGAAGAGACATGAAGAAGAGGGGACACATGTTGATGTAGAAGAGACATGAAGAAGAGGGGACACATGTTGATGTAGAAGAGACATGAAGAAGAGGGGACACATGTTGATGTAGAAGAGACATGAAGAAGAGGGGACACATGGTGACGTAGAAGAGACATGAAGAAGAGGGGACACATGTTGATGTAGAAAAGACATGAAGAAGAGGGGACACATGTTGATGTAGAAAAGACATGAAGAAGAGGGGACACATGTTGATGTAGAAAAGACATGAAGAAGAGGGGACACATGTTGATGTAGAAAAGACATGGAGAAGAGGGGACACATGTTGATGTAGAAGAGACATGAAGAAGAGGATTTTGCATAATAGGTCCCCTTTAATAACTGAGTGATCTTAGCTCTTTGCAGACTGTCTCTCTGACCTGTAGGTCCCGGATGTCGAACGGTTCCTCGTAGATGTAGACGGTGTCGGCTCCGGAAGCCAGCCCCCCCACGGTGGCCAGGTACCCGCAGTACCCCCCCATCGTCTCGATGATGAAGACCCTGCGCTTGGTGCCGCTGGCCGACTGCTTGATGCGATCACATGTCTGAATCACACGCAGAGGAAAGAGTCAATAACAACAACATGGAGGATCGTTTCACTAAAGGAGAGCTGAGATGATTCATAACAAAGTATTTATACAGTTTCATATGAAGTCAAAATGTTGAGGGTTCAAATTCAATACTTATAGCTTTTTTTGGTTTTGGCCAGTCGGAGTAAATCAGAATTTTGGGCTGAAGAAAACTGATAGGAATTTAGACGTTTGTCTTTTTACATTACATTACATTACATGTTACTTGTTAGACGCTTTTATCCAAAGCGACTTACATACTCAATACTGTGAGCAATCACCACAGGAGCAATTTGGGGTGAAGTGTCTCAGGGACACAACGACATGCTGACTGCAGTGGGGTTTGAACCCTGATCCGAACACCAACTCACAACCCACTGCACCACACGCCTCCTCTAGTCTTTAAACTACACAATTACTAATCTGAATAATAATAGTTGGTAATGATCAGCTGCAGCTCTACTTTGGCAACGTATGTAGTAAAGTCAACTGAGTACACATGCAGCTTTAGTAACCTTTAGCAGTTTATGCCGACAAAGAGTCAGATCAATAATCCTCAGTGATGCACAGGTTAACTCCTTAGTGATGATTACATACAATCACATAAGGCCAGGCCAGTGGGAGCATTTACTAACAATGATACTTGTATATATGACATCATTTAGCCTCTACTATTATGACTCTTTGGTATACATTTGAATGTGAGACATTCACCTGCAAATCTACTCACTTACAGGAAAGATACAAATGATTTGGGAAAACTTAAAAACAAGTGTCAATAGGTGCTTTCACACCGCAGTACTTTTCCCACAAAGGTTCATCAGAACTTAGTTCTTGAGAACTCTTTAGTTCTCATGAACTAAGTAGCTACAGATCGCGTTCACACCGGAATAAGTCCCTGAGGGAGGATTAGGCAAATGAAGCCGCTGACGTCACTTCTTCTTCTTCTGCTTTGGGTTTACTGGCAGGCCGCAAACCACTTCACGGCGTATACTGCCACCCGGAGTCCCCGGCCGGAAGTCCCCGGAGTTGGGGACTGGCTTCAGTAGAAGTTTCCGATCAGGAAATGCACGCAAATACAAGCCTTTATATTATTAAGGTACAGTGCCACTTTCCGAACCATTAATGAATGCTTGTGTACACAAAAACGGCAGGCAAAACTGTTTTAAATGTGTGTTTCCTGTATGGCGATCAGCTGCTTTATTTATGTCTGTATGAAGTTGTTGTGAGTGTGGAGGGAGCAGCTACAGGTTAGCTTAGCCTAATCGATCAGTGCACTACGAAGCCAGTGCTAGACAGTGAACTGTCAACGGTGGGAGCCCCGCCGGTCATTATCGGCCGATATTCACTCTTAATAGTTTGATCGGTGCTCTCTATAAAGGCCGATCAGGAGAGCTGGATCTGATCGATATGGACATAAACGCGAGTGAAGTTTTAGCGAGCTGCATGAGAAACTGACGGGCTGTCAGGAGAGAGGGAGGGAGAGAGGAAAAGAGATGATCCTTACTCCCGTGTTATTATCCGGTCATAGTCCGGTAATTACCTAACGGAAACGCTGCTACACAATTCTTATTATTATTATTATTGAAACATGACCGGTAAGTTTCAAATTTGTCCGGTAAAATTAAATTCTGTCCGCGGAAACCCTGCTCCGGACTACGCAAAATGCGTATATGAAGTGACATGAACGCAAGAAATCTACCCTCGTGGGGGCGCGCTCATGTGATTGGCTTAGAATTGAGGAGACATCTGATTGGCTATAGATAGAAAAAATTACAAGTACGAATCGGGTGACCGTCAGGGGAGTCTCAAAAAACCCACACACGAATGCAGAGCGATCCATGCACAGAAAGCGGTTTGTGTTTGCAGGTTCAGGGGATTTAAACGGAAAACAAATATGTGAGGATCAAAAATACATATGTAAAACTTTTTTCTGTATTTGGATTTTATTTACATGTATATGAAACGGAACACATTTGTGTGTGCATTGAAAAACACAAGTGTGGATCCGGAAATACAAGTGTGAATCCTTTTGTGGATCATGAAATACAAGTGTGAATCCTTCTGTGTGCATGTGTGTATTATGAGACCGTTCTGAGCCCATAGCTTTATACATTGTTCCTTTTCAACTGTACAGGTATGCTCTCTTAAAAATGATTGACTTTGCTCACCATCACATTTTTTTTTTTGTGAGTCTAAAATAATTGAATGTTCGGTAGCGCACGGCCTTAGAAAAATGCAGACAAATGGTGGATCAGAATCCCATATTTTAAATAATCAATCAAATTCTGATGCTTTGTGAATGCGTCCGTCCAGTTACCCTGTGCATACTGGGCCTGTTTTATAATTCCAGTCATAAAAACATGTCTCCTCTAGAAACACAGCATCACACACACACTGGCAGGAACACACACATCATCAATACAACAAAACAGTCACTGACATGCAGGTGCATTCTGGGAATTAGAGTTCTCTTGTCTGGTTCATCAGGAATATTTGTACTCACAGATTGTAGATTTCCTTACTGCTATCAAGGCTTCTCTCCATAGGTTCAAATAGCATTTCTGGAGTGTGATTTTCCAGCTGTTTTTTTTAATCTCTTTTCTGGCCCTTACCTCCACAACGGCGTTGAGCGCCGTGTCGGCTCCGATACTGAGGTCGGTGCCCGGCACGTTGTTACTAATCGTCGCAGGCAGCATGCACATCGGGATGCAAAACTCCTCGTGGTGGAGCCGGGCCTCGAACAGCTTCAGGAGGGACTCAAAGGCCTGGAGGCCGCGATACAGGGTTAGACCACCAGGGGGAACACTACCATAAAGACTGAAGCATCCTTCAGTCCTCACAGTAAACACAGAGCTGAATCCCAGATCTAATGCACGCTAAAGGCTCTTTGAGCATGTTCTCTCTCTCACTGATTGTGATGTTGTGTTAAATGTTTGTTGTTCATGTATTGTTTCTTGATATGGGTCTGTTGATGTTACACATGGAGCTGCTGTGATGCAAGTCACATGTCAGACTTGATCCGACCAATAAAGTATTATCGTATCGTATATCTCAAGGTGTCTGAGTGAGTGCGTGCGTGCGTGCGTGTTTGTGTGTATGCTGCTGGCTCTCTCCATTGGACCATTGGACGGGGGCTTTGGCTTCCCATTGGCTTAGAGGAGATGGGATGGGGGCAGTGTGTGTGTGTGTGTGTGTGTGTGTGGGGGGTGGGGTGGGGGGGGGGGGGGGGAGATTTGCACCCTGGCTTACATAAAGGACCGTTCTCATTTCATCAAATGTCCCTCCTCGACTCCCCTCCTCGACTCCTATCCTCGAGACTTAGTCCCGCCCACAGGAGATGCGAGCGGAGGAGCCGAGGAGAGAGGAGGGACATTTGATGACATGAGAACGGGCCAAAGAGGTGTTGACGCGACAACAAGACAGCGATAGGGGCGGCTCTCCGGAGGATACGGGCGATCTTTCCTTTTATGAACAAGAACTAACAGAGGGCCGGGCTCCAAAGAACATCCAGACTGAAGAGAACACTAAGGCGCTATGTAAATTGAAGTTATTATTATTATTATTATTATTATTATTATTATTATTATTACAGAGCGTGTCTTAAAGGTAGGGTAGGTAAGTTTGAGAAACCGGCTCGAGATACACTTTTTGTTATATTCCATGGAATGCTCTTAACATCCAGATAGCAATGAATATCTGAAGTGCTTTGACAAAAAATCATTACAAAAATATCATCTGTGGAAGCTGTAGTACTGTAAAAAGCACGACCAATCATCTGAGCCGGCCCGGCTAAAATAACTGGATGGCCTACCTGCCTGTCAGCCTTCCATCTGTGCACAAACTTATCTCGTGCCCTCATTGGTCATGTGCGCGTTCGTGTGTGTTGGAGGAGGAGCTCTGTAAGGAAGTGGCAGATTTTCTCCGGTTGTGTATTTTCAAATTCTAGCGATCTCGAGCCGGTTTCTCCAAAATTACCTACCCCACCTTTAAGAGTATGCACACACACTCTTATCCTACAGAGCTCTGTAAAGGCTCTGACCCTGGGCCAGTTTGACGCCTCCTCAGCGTCACTGTTGCACTGAAGCAGATCACCTGTCATCATCTGCTGTTTCCACAACAAACACGCAAGGGCAACAAGTGACTACATGCACTTACCTGAGGTCAGCTGACCCGCTCACATCCTGCTACAATCAGCAATCAGATGTTTTGATGGTTTATCTGTATGATGGTACTGACTGTGAGGGACCTCTTACTGTTTCTTCAGTTTTCTTATTAGTGTTTCTAATGATTCATATGACTGTTTCCTTCTCAGAGAAGAGTAATAAACATTTTTCTTTTCTGTACACCTTTCTTCGGAGGTTGTGTCACCAGGATGAATTGTGTTTGAGTTTGTGTTAGAAATTCAAGATTTAGGGCCTAGATAGATAGCCACGGCCTAGTTGTTGGCAATGGAAATCTAAAGTCCCAGGCCCTGTCAACGTTGCAACGTACTGTATATTTAAAGGTCCCATGTCATGGCCATTTCTACTGATCATAATTCCATTGTTGAGGTCTACTAGAATAGATTTACATTGTTCAATGTTCCAAAATGTCATTGGTTTCTCATACAGCATCTCTGTATAGTATGTGTATTCACTCTCTGTCCTAAACGGCTTGTTGGAGCTCCTGCCCCCCCCCTCCCTGTGAGCCCACTGTGCTCTGATTGGTCAGCTTGTCCACTCTGTTCTGATGAGTCCTCCACCGTTACAGCGGAACATCAGTGATTATGTGTTACAATGGCGTTTGTTAGCAACCAGAAAATGACACCAGTAATGACAAACAGATGAGAATGCTGCGTGGGGTCTGGGTGCCGTGTTGGCGGGACGTTGCGGGGCTCGCTGCTCTGCCCTTTGAGGCTCGAGGAGCGGACAGTGTGAGCTGGATTACTGGTGTCGTTTCCTGGTTGCTGCGTGGGGTCTGCGAGACAGCGAGACACTGCGGAGCTCAGCCTGAGCACACACACACACTCACAGCCAGAGCTCCGAGTGTGTGTGTGTGTGTGTGTGTGTGTACAGAGCTCCGCAGATTGGTCCATTTGGTCCATTTGGACTTTGTTAAGTCACATCCGTCCACATAACACAAAGGGACGGGTAATAACCAGAAAAGCATGACATGGGACCTTTAAAACATAATAAATAAATAAGTCCGGCAGTGGCTCAGTCAGTTGGGGCTTGGACTGTGAGCCGTAGGGTCGCAGGTTCAAGTCCCCGACCAGACCTAAATATGGAGTATGGACTGCTACTTGGAGAGTTCCCAGTTCACCTCCTGCCCTGCTGTGGTGCCCTTGAGCAAGGCACCGGACATCCCCCTTCCCCCCCACTCCCATTGCTCCCCGGGCACTGTACAATAGCTGCCCACTTCTCCTGGTACTAGACTCCTGGTACTAGGATGGGTTAAAAGCAGAGAACACATGTCACTGTGTGCTGAATGCTCTGCATGTGTGACCATTACAGAGGGGTTCATCCCTCCCAATTCTTGAGGGTTTCAATTCTTGAGAAAGTTAAATGGTGTAATTGACACTTTTTTATACTACTATTATGATGGTTTTGTTTCTGTGAAAGCAAAGTCTTTTACTGGCAGGTTTGAGTGTGAGGCTGCTTGTGTTTACAGAAAATAATGCACTGACCTTTTACACACGTCATGTTGCCCCTTCACTGAAGTGTCCTGACTCTCCTAACTTATCATAAACCTTCCGATTGTTTTCGGAGGATGTGAGCTGACGATCAGCGAAGCCCCGACTCTCACAGGCTGGATGGTGTGTGTTTAAAATCTAATTACACACACACACACACACACAAGTTGACTGTGCTCCAGCCACACTTACATCAGTAATGGCGTTCAGAGCCGTGTCTGAGCCGATGCTGAGGTCGGACCCGGGGATATTGTTGGAGACGGTGGCGGGGACCATGACCATGGGGATACACAGATCGCTATATTTGCTGCGTGCCTCAGAAAGTTCCAGTAATCCCACGTAGGCCTGGACAGCAAGAGCTTAGTGTTTATGATGTGCACACAGAGGGGGGAGAAGGGGGAGGAGAGGGAAGAGGACTAATGCCAGGGTGCAATGGATGTGACGACGTACTGTAGGAGAGTTTTTAACAAAGTCATGGTGGTAGGAGCCTTGAATTTGTAGCATTTACAAATATATAATGCTATTTTACACCTTGGTGGTAATGCATGAGTGCAGCTTTCACCATTTTGTCTTAAAAGTCAAAAAATATATGCACCAATATTGATCAATCTGGTAAGCCTTGGAGTGCTATTGCCAATTACATATCAAGAGAAAGGATGTTTTTTGAGACATTCAATTCTAGCTTTAACATCTTCAGATTTTCCCTGGAGCTTTTTTTGAATTTGTTTTAAATGTTATTAGCAGCTCCTTCACTTCCTATGTTGTGCAAAGCATTGGAGATAACACTCGTTATCATAGGGCTGCTCAATTTGGAAATAATAACTAATTGTGAATATTTTACAGAATTGACCAAATTGTCTTTTTAAGTAAAAATAATTGGCAAAAAGTGCACCAATATTTATCAATTTGGTAAATGTTGGATTATTGGCAATTCAATATCAAAACAAATCAAGATGTTAGTCTAGAGCAGGGGTGTCAAACTCAATTTCATTGCGGGCCACATCAGCATTATGGTTGCACTCAAAGGGCCGGTTGTGACTTTAAGACTATATAAATATATAATATATATAAAATAATGTATTATAATACATAATTTCCTGTGCATTGGATTAATATCGGATAGGGTAATAACTTCATAATTAACTACGTCTGAAAGCAGAAGTCTTGGGCAAATAATTGCAAGTCTCTTCAGTGCCATGTCACAAAACAAGATGCATTGTGGGACATGTAGTTTATGGGCAACGTGCTCCTGTAAAGTGGCATGTAACCGTATAATAAACGTATTATATTCTTTGCATGCGGGCCACATTAAATGAAGTCACGGGCCGGATTTGGCCCCCGGGCCTTGAGTTTGACACCCCTGGTCTAGAGATTCGATTGCAATTTTATAGTTTTCTTAATTTTCACCAAGTTGTTTCTGTATTTGTTTTACATTGAAGTAGCAATGAGTAGCCCCTTCACTTCCTATGTTGTGCAAAGCATTGTAGAATAACACTCTTTATCTTAGGGCTGCTCAATTTGGATCCAAATAACTCATTTGGATTCTTTTTGGCTGATATTGTAGTCGCAGAATGGGTTGAATTGTATTAAATGGATCCGTAACAATCAAAGGTTTATCATTAAGTCTGTAGAGAACTGTTTGTAGGCCAGGACTTACAGTACATCATACAGATATGTTCACATATTCTGCATTTATCAAATATTGTGCTTACTGCAATTTGGATATTGCACTAGTCCATAAAGTGATTTTGATGTCATTTTGAATAATTGTGCAGCCCTAGTTTATCAAGAACCAAAAAAACTCAAACTAATTGAACATAATCCTATCTATGAGTATAAAAAAATACCCAAAATCCAGCTGTATGTAGATAAAAAGGTGAATATTATTCGTGTGTATGTGCATGTAAGCAAGACTTGTGGTGGGCGGGGCGTATAGAGCAGGGGATTTAAGGGGGTGGGGCTTGTTGGTGGGGGATAGATATTAAGAGTGATGCATTAGAAAAAGCAGAGACAGTAATGGTGGGTGGGACAGATCAAAGTTCTGAGGGACTGTGGTGGGAGGAGCCAAGAGGAGAGAGCCAGGCCAATCACAATGAGACACAAACAGGAAGTGGACGTACTATAGCACGGAAAAAGATATTGTTCATTCAATGGCCAAGCTGCCTTTTTTTTATACAATATTTACATAGTTTTAATCCTAATTTATTTACATTTCATACAGAATTTTAAAACGGGTGTCAATTAGTTAGTAAAATTACATTTTCCCAGA